CAATTTCACACTTTTTAATGTATGTATTCCACAGAACTGTGGACATATATTAACTAAAATCTCTGTACCAGCATTATTCATGATAGCCCTAAGGTGGAAAAAAACACATATTCATCAAAGGTGGAATGGATAATGTTCTACATTCGTATGCTTGAATACTACACAGCAGTGCAGATAAATGAAATACTGCTTCATATATTGATGAGCCCTAAAAAAATAATACTGAACAAAGGACAGGAAACAGGTAGCCTGTGGTAGCAGAAGTCAAGGTAGTGGTTAGCTCTGAGGAAGGAGCCAGTACCTACTGGGGAAATTGGAATGTTTCATTGCTTGCTGTGGCTGGTGGCTAACAAATGTGTTCACTTTGTGATAATTAACAAACTTTTCTTAGTGTCTTGTACTTTCTTTTTTTATCTTGTACTTTCTTGTAGGTATGTTATATTTTGATTTTTAAAGTTAATTTTTAAACTCATAATTCATTACTCCTTCCTGAAATTATGCAGTTACCGAGTTACACATTTGTAGGCACTGACATAGGATTTTGCCTACCCTAGATTTATATTTCATCATTTAAATCTCAAGAGGAATCTTATTTCCAAGCTTGTCTGAGGTGCTTTTAGTGCCCATGTAGACAACAGAATGGTTTTGTAAGGGGTTAGGATTAAGACACTTGATAAACTTGAGTTTATTATGCATCTTTATTTTGAAAAATGTGCTCAGTTAGACCATTTATTACAAGGACTTTCTCCAGATTAAAATAAGTGTTTAAGATGTTAAAATGAAAGAATTATATTGGTGGTATTTATTTTCATTTTTAGTTAAATGCTCTGCGAGATCTTCATCCATTACCCAAGATAATTTTGGAATACAGGCAGGTAAGTTAACTTTTTTGTAAGTGAAGGGTATTGAAGGGGAACCATATGGCCCTGTGTCTTTCAACGGAAATCTATAATGGCAGAAGCAGCCCTCCCACTGTTCTCAGGGGAAGAGTTTTGTCGGGTTAACCTTGTACTGGCACCGTTTACTTGTGCCGCAATGTGATTTTACCCAAGTCTGCTATCAGCCCCACTCGTGAACCTCAGGAGTCATAAATGGAAGAAGACAATGAAGAATCAGAAGGAAGCAGGTGCACACCACAGCTGTGTGACAGCGGTGTGCATGAGACGCCCAGCAGCACCGAGTCCAGAATTCTCCCACAACCCCCTTCCTGGCTTCTAGGTCTGGCAAGGCTATACCATAGCAGTGTTTTGCTGTCTTGCATTTACATTTATCAGGGATTTCACGAGCGGCCCCCTTCCCTTCCCTGGCTATTTCCCATTTCTTTGTTCATACACCAGCCATTTCCTTCAGAAGTTCTCTGTTGGTTGTGAACCACGTTTTTAGCTTTTGCCACTGCCCACAGCATAGGTCCTAGTATTCACTGAGCCTGTGGCCTGCTGTATCCTGAGGGCCTGGCAGCCATGAGGGAGCAAGTTGGCCCCAGCCTGGCCCTTTCTCCCTGCAGTGATGTGAAGGGGCCACCACAGGAGACACTGCGTCAGGGTATTTATCTGTTTATTTTTGCAAATTTCCTGTAAATCTAGAATGACTCTAGAATTAATAGATGTATTTTTTTTTTCTGGTAAAGATATACCCGAATTAGATGTATTTTTAGAGTGGAATGACATCTTTCTCTGTGGGTCAGTGTTATTTAATCCTAAGGTCATTCCAGGTCCTCCCGGAGTCATCCAAGGTGACAGTAGCAGCACGTGACTGACACTCTGTGAAACACCATTCACACCATTCCTGTTTAAAGACTGAAACAGGCCAGGTGCAGTGGCTCATCCCTGAAATCCCAGCACTTTGGGAGGCTGAGGTGGGCAGATCGCCTGAAGTCACGGGTTTGAAACCAGCCTGGCCAACATGGCGAAAACCCATCTCTACTAAAAATATAAAAATTAGCCGGGTGTGGTGGCGCATGCCTGTAACCCCAGCTACTTGGGAGGCTGAGGCAGAAGAATTGCTTGAACCCAGGAGGTGGAGGTTGCAGTAAACTGAGATTACGCCACTGCACTCCAGCCTAAGTGACAGAGCGAGACTCCTTATCAGAAAAAAAAAAAAAAGGACTTAAACAAAGAAAATGATTATTCTTGTCTTCGTACCTTAGGTTCACAAGATCAAGTCAACCTTTGTAGACGGATTACTAGCTTGCATGAAAAAGGTAACAAGCTTTACAGAAAAATAATACGGTTAGGACTGTGGTTTATGTATGAGTTCAGATACATACAGAAGCTTTGTAGTCTTTTTCTTTTTTGAGACGGAGTCTCACTGTCGTCCAGACTGAGTGCAGTGGCTCGATCTCGGCTCACTGCAACCTCTGCCTCCCAGGTTCAAGCGATTCTCCTGCCTCAGCCTCCTGTGTAGCTGGGATTACAGGCACGTGCCACTGTGCCCTGCTAATTTTTGTATTTAGGAGAGACGGGGTTTCACCATGTTGGCCAGGATGGTCTCGATCTCTTGACCTTATGATCCACCTACCTCAGCCTCCCAAAGTGCTGGGATTATAGGCCTGAGCCATCGCGCCCTGCCAGAAGCTTTGTAATTTTAGTAAATAATGAAATAATCTAATATTCTTGAAACTGTGAACCATGTTGTTGGTATTATTTAGGTCTCCTTGCAGCATAGGTTGACATTATGCCTTGAACCCTCTGTTCATGTGGAAGCTCTAGCTGGCCTGCTTTCACATCCATTATTGCATCTCTGTTCTGGACTTGTGTGAGGAAGATGATACTGTTTTAGTTCAGACTTGAGGAGACTGCAGTCAAGGGATGTTCTCTGACTCATTCAAGTTCACACAGCCAGTGACAGAACATGTGATGCACAGCCCCACCTTGAGCCCACACCACGCTCCCCACAGCCCAACAGCCCTTCCTCTCCCCATGCACAGGATTGTAAGTGATGTCAAGTCCTGCTGCAGTTCCTACATGGGATGGGGGAAGCTTCCTTCTTCACCCTTCCCTGATCACACATCAGGAGCTTTGTAACCCCAAGGACATTTCGGGGTTGGAAGTTTAGGGCCAGCAGCTTGTTGGCCTCTGGAGGAGCAGCGAGTGTTGTGTGTTGTGGGTGGAGGCTCTGCCTCATTCTTGACCTCGTATAGCATTGCCAGAGTTTACACTGATTTTTCTTAACTAATAAAGGGCTCCATTTCCTCTACATGGAATCAGACTGGAACTGTGACTGGAAGACTTTCAGCCAAACATCCTGTAAGTTGTTTAAACAACTGTCTTTGTTAAACGCCGTTTTCCATACCTTGCTTTTGAGGTTTTGCCTCCATATGTGTTTGCCTGTGCACTTTCTGTTTCCAAGAGGGGACTTCATACTGATATGTTGTGTTTTATTCTGTTTATTCTGAGAACAGAGTGGGAGAACAAGATAGTGGGGCCCTCTTCTCATGAAGTGCTGAGTTAGCAAGGGAGGGCTTCACACCCAGAAACCCATGCACTCCAGTGTGAGGGCAAAAAGGGCACCCCTCCCCTCTTCCTTTTAAGATTTGTGCCAGGCAGGTGATTTCTGATTTCCAGAAATGTGTTAAAGTATCTGACGCCATGATGACCAGCTCCAGATTTTGGTGTTTGTTGAAGCTGTATCTCTGATGAAAAAAAAAAAAAAGCGGTAAATGCCCTTGAACTTATGATGCAGCTTTAATAACACTTAAAGCAATTAACTTTTTAAATGAGTCTATATTTTGAACTAAAAAAGACTCATTTTCTCATTACAGAAAAGTTTCTTAGATACAGAAAAGAAATTAAAAACTAATAAAAAGTCACTTGTTATCCACCATGCAGAATTGTGGCGTCTACCTTTCCACACTTTTTGCTAAGCACATATATTTATAAAATACAATTTTTTCTACAAAAATAAAGCCATGCTATTTTATATCATGCTTTTTTAACATCTCTTGATATCATTATACATTAATAAATATTGATTTGAATCTGTATTTAGATTTAAATATATGAATTAAATACGTGAATGATTTAAGTACACACTAATATATATAAATATAAATATATATTCATGGTAAATAAATACAGGTATGTGGAGGTTTACAGAATAAGCAAATGTTAGTCCTCTTTCCCTTCCCTCCGTAACCTGTGTCTGTCCATGGGTTCCTTTCATTAATGGTCAGGCCTTCATCCAGGCATTTGCATAGATGGTGTACTGAGTACATGCAGGCAGAAGGACTGTGTGGGGAAGAGGAAGAGAGGCTGGGATGGGCTGTTTGCCCTGATCCTGTGGCCTCTTGGGTGCAAGGATGTCCACTCTTGGTCAGTCAGCTCTTGGGTTGCCAGCTGTCTCTGCCTTACACTTTAGGGAGCTCTTCTGGGGTCTTTAGTGAAGAGTAGTAGTAGTAGCAATACTAATGCAAATACCAATACCAACATCAATATCAACGTGACCACCAGTGCCATCTCCTCTGAGTGCAGGCGCTGCTGCCACGCTGCCCTTGGGCTGATTTCTCAACCAACCACAACTGCTGTAGTTTTCTCTTAGTTGATACTTCTTATCTAGGAGTTATTTAGGAATTCTGCTGATAAACTTTTTGTAGAAGTCCTTGCTTTTGCTTTTACAGAGTTATAAGTTTCTTTCTCCATTACATTTTCAGTTAATTTCTTGCAGAGGTTTCTAAAAGTCTGGTTTGCAAGTAGCACTCCTCCCAGGTTCTCAGTGATGCTCTAATTTTACCTGTTTATTTTTCTGTTATTTCAGTTGAATGTTTGGAAAGATGGGATATAAACAAAACATGTGCATTCAGCCATGACCTGGAAGTCTGTGTCATCATTTTAACAGCTGCATTGTATTCCATTTAATGGCCACCCCTATTGATGGTCATTTACATTGTTTGCAGTTTTAATTACTTTGTAGAGATACCATAAACACACTTGTACTTTACCTTAGCAATACCATACCAACTTCAATAGCAATACCAATACTATAACCAATACCATAAACATTTTTGATACTTTTTTTCTGTTGATTCCTGTAGCATAATTTCCTAGAGATAGAATTTCTAAGTCACAGTGTATATGTATTTTTAAGGCTTTACATTGCCAAATTAGCCTCCTCACCAAAAATAACATTCCCACCACATAGGGTGTGAAATGCTTGGTCTCCTAATCCTTGCCAACACAAGGAGTTTTCATTTTGGTTAACTTTCCTGACTCATTTTTTCAATTTCCATTTCTTTAAATATTTGGTGAGGTTGACTACATAAAGCAATTATTCTTCTTTGAATTGCCAGTTCCTGTCATTTGCCCATTTCTCTGGAGGATGTTTATTTTTTTCCTATGGATATGGAAAAGCTCTTTATATAATAAAGATTAACCCTTTATAAAATGTTGAATTATTTTTCTCCAGTTTTCTTTTGCCTTTTACTTTTTAAGATATATATTCTGGTTTGCCATACTTAAAATGGCTTTTTAAAATTATACAAATAACATGATATTTCTAAAGAATTCAAACAATATATAAAAATGCAAATAACAAAGTAAAAAGTCACTCAAAACTCCATATCCTCGCTATAGCCATCTTTAACATTTTGGTGACCATCCTCTAATTTATCTCTTTATGCACACACATATTTACATAAATGGGATCATATTATATATGCTGTTTTTATTGTAGACACTCCTCTCACACCCACATACCTCAGCCCTCCATCCTCACTCCCAGTGCTCTTGGTAGACCATAATAGCAGCCTAGAGCTTATATGCATATTTTCCTTCTGACTTATTATATAATCTCATACAGGCCCATATGTATCTGTACATATACACACAGAGACATGTACTAACTTTGTCATTATTTATTTTACACATTTAGAATTTTCCTTTCCTGCCTCTTGCTTTTTGCTCTCAGCAACAGCTTGTGGGACTCCCTGCAGCTCACCAGACACAGCCCTGTCCCACTCTAGCTGTGTGTGTTCCACACGTGGGTATGTTGTGCTGTTGCCCTCTAAGAGTAAAGCTGCAATGAACACCATGCATGTATGTCCTATTGTATTGGTACTTGTATTTTTGTGGGACAGATTTTCAGATATGGAATTAATAATTACTGTACTGGGTACAGAGGATATTACATTTTTACTTTTAATAGCATTTATTAAATTGCCTTCCAAAATGCTCTCAGCTCCTGTCTCTGCCCTGAGAAATGTGTGGCAGAGCTTTTCCAATCTTTATGTTGACTTTCCCCTGTACCAACATCGCTTATTGTTTCTGTCTTAGTGTCATCTTAGACAGGCTGCCCTTAGCTCCAAGATTATTTAAATACTCACCTCTGTTTTCTCATAGAACATTTGTCCTTTACTTTCTTACACATAAAACTTGAATCTAGTATTATTTAAGAAAATACTATGTAGGGTACATGATAATTCCATAAAATGGCTAGAATTTCAATTACTTTCTCTTTTTTTTGCTTAAAGTGCACAAAATACAGTTGACTAATATTTTTAAAAATCAGATTATTAGCCTGGGCAGCATAGCAAGACCCTATCTCTACGTAAATGTTAAAATACTTTAAATTAGCTGAGCATGGTAGCTACTTGGGAGGGAGGCTGAGGCAGGAGGATCACTTGAGCCCAAAAGTTCCAGGCTGAAGCAAGTTGTGATCACACCACAGCACTTCACCCTGGGTGACAGAGCAAGACCTTGTCTCTTAAAAAAAAAAAAAAAAAAAAATCAGGCCAGACGCAATGGTTCATGTCTATAATCCCAGCACTTTGGGAGGCCAAGGCAGGCAGATCTCTTGAGCTCAGGGGTTCAAAACCAGCCTGGGCAACATGGTGAAACCCCATCTCTACCAAAAATACAGAAAATTAGCTGGGCATGGTGTGCACACCTATGGTTCCAGCCACTCAAGAAGCCAAAGTGGGAGGATTGCTTGAGTCTAAGAGAAGGAGGTTACAGTGAGCCGAGATCACACCACTGCACTCCAGCCTGGTGACAGAGTGAGACACCATCTCAAAAATATATATATATGTAGGTTATAGCTGGTTTTCAGTATTTTCAGAAAGCTAATTTTCTCACACACCCCCCCACCCTCAAGAGAAAGTTATTGCTTCTGGATCTTTATATGGAGATTTAAAAAAAAGAAGAAAAAAAGAGTCATTGCTACCAGTTGTGTGAAAGTATCCTTGTGTCTCTTTGTAATACCTCCCTCCCTACCTGTCAACCTTTACCCACGTGTTTGGCAACCACTGACTTGCTGTTTGCCATTATAGATTAGTTTGCACTTTCTGGAAACCTATGTGAATGGAGCCACACAGCACGGACTCCTTTCAGGGCTCCTTTCACACTGCTGTTATTGTGAGCTTCAGCCACGTTGGTCTGTGTTTCAGTAGCTCATTTCTTTTTGTTGCTTGGTAGTATTCCATTGAATCTGTGTACCCCACGTTGTTTATAAATTCATCTGTTGATCAGTATTTGGGTTGTTTCCAGTTTGGGGATATTATTCAGTTTGGGATATTACTACATACATTCACTGCATATGACGAGTATCACATCGGTGGGTCCCTGTTTGGGCGCCAGCTGTGACAAGTGTCACATTGCAGTCACCACGTGAGACGTTGATCACCACCTGCGGAGGTCTGTCCTGCAGACCCTGACTCAACGACGGATGAATAAAATGCACTCACACACACCAGAATACGGTGAATCTGAGTGGGCTAGGGCTGGTCGTCAGCTGCTTTCAGAGGGTGATTGCAGCCAACCAGCCACCACTTGCTGCTGCTCCTCACATTTATTCAGTATGGATTTAATAACAGAAGTTCTAAGTCAACACACTTGTGGATAATTAACATAGTTAAAAGAGTGGTTTTACAAATGATAAAAGGTCTTGGTTCCAGGGCCCCGAATAAACACCATCAGCAGGTAATTCCCCTTCAACCTCCCCCCAAGAGGGTCATCCAGCACAGAGTTTACATGAGTAAACAGTCAGAGACAAAGGAATGTGGGGTAAACAGACTTAACTGGGGAAGTTTTTATTATCCTAATCTTTTACCCTATGACTTAAAGTTTAACATAATGAACTGGCTGCCTTCAGCCCATTCTATTAAAACCTTTTCAGCCTTCAAAAAGGTTTGAGACTATAATCTTCTAACTTTCCCTAATATTTCCCTAATATTTTGCCAGCCATCCCAAGCAAATCCCAACAACTGCACATCCTTATATGGATATATACTTTTTTTTTCCCTTGGGTAAATACC